TACCAAAATATACCTTAACCTTATTTTTTTAGGGCTTCTCATCTTAGCAAATGCTCATCCCTCTTGAAAATAAATTATGCTGAAAACAAGACGGTTTAATCTCTTAAAATGCACTGAACGTTTCTGAGCAAAACATTTTACAAATTTAACAAATATATTAATTTACAACATAAGTAGCAGAGTTCAATTTAATTATATTCAATCCATTTTGAAAATCATATTAAAAAATATAAATAAAACTTTTGAATTTGATATATGAGAATGGATTTTGTTTATTTTATTTTTCAAGACCTCAAATATTTGAACTTACTGTTTTTTAAAATAGATTTTTGAGAATGAATTTGTTACATAACAACATTATAGGTACGTACAGATGTAACAAAAATGATCGACACAATTTCAAAAGATGACAGAACATGGCAACAGTAACAATTTTCCTAATATGATATGTGGTGAATGCGAAAATTTAACAATGAACATGGAAAACAATCATTTCAATCATCACGGGTATTTACTAGAAATAGATGTTCAGATGAACTGTTCAATGCACAACAACCAAATGCAACACATGCACCACTATGTTCACAGATCTCATTTACGAGATGCTCATTGACCTTCAGAATTAGGACTGTTACAGAAATATATGGCATGCTAAGTATCTTCTTAAGTGTATGGTGGCAGTGAATGAAAGTGAAGTTATTGGTAAAATGTATACCAATCACTTCACCTTCACTGTGATGCATGTATTGCACTTGACGACTGTTCACTTGAACAGTTCTTGTTAATATCAAATGCTAGTTCTTGCATATACCCATGACTAGGGGCATCCCAAAGAAAGTTTAAGTTTTTAAATGTATGTACCTAGATATAAGAAGATAAAAAATATGAAGTAGAAAAGTTGTCTTCTTTGAAAGTGTTAAAGTTTATTGTAAAAATGGACTTTCAAGAATCACTCCCTACCTTATCCCTACCCTTTTTTGACAGTGCATGCTTTAGTTGCTTTTAGTGAGAAAAGCTTTTCAGAGTTGAAGTTGATCAAAAGCTGTCTTTGATCAACAATGAGCTGTGCAAAATTTAACGTATGGCATTCCTTTCTATTAAAGGTGCAGTGGCTAAAAGCATTAATTTTGATGAATCTATAAGAAACTTTTCAGAAGGTCACAGAGAAAAAAAAAGAGAAGTTAAAAAACATTTTTTAAATCATCAAAAATGGCAGATTAATAAGCCTTTTTAAATATATGTTTGTCCATTACATAGACGTATGTTTTCCCTTATTTTTAAAACTGTTTTTTCAAAAGCAATTTAACTATTAATTTAGAAGTCAAGCAACAAAAATCAGCATTTGTGTTTGCAAATTTTTTGCATGAATAGTTTCAATGGTTTTACTGAACCATGCATTTTTCCGCCCCTAGCCTATAGATAGCTAGCCTATATATGGCTATAGGTCTGCCACTCTTCATGAATAAAATGATTTTTCATTCTCTGTGTTCTTCATAGTTACTCTATTATCTTTACATTCCACCACATAATGCAGTATGAAAATGATTACCTTTGCTGTATACTATACATTCTTAGAATTGTTAACATCGATTCTGTTACAGCCTGTATAATCAGAATAAATTCAAATAAATAAATCTAAATACATTTGTTAATAGTGTCAATTTATAAACTATATTTCTTCTTATTGATCAGGTTTAATAAACGCAGTGAATGCACCACAGCATTCACTTTCCCAATCCTATCCTGTGACCATAACAAATGGTTCCAACCTTTCTTCAGGAGGCAGCATATTATTCAACGTGTCCATGCTTTTGATTACTTCTTTCAGACCTGACTGGCATCGCTGAAGATTATTTGATATTTCTTGCACTTTCCCAAGCTGCTCAGCATACTTGGCAAATTTTTTCTGACGCTCTGCCAGCATGTTAGTTAATGTTGTAATAGCAAAGTCAATCTACAGAAAAATTAAAAACTTTGTACCCCACTATGTAAAACACACATTAAGCATCATTACTTAAAAGATACAACATTTAAACACGCATATGCAAAAAACGTTTTCCCGTAACATAACTGAGTTTAAATCTTATAAAAAAATCTTATAAACTGGATAAGTACAAAATTATGATCCAAGAGAGAATTCATTACCCCCCACCCCAAAAAAAAAAAAAAGATTCTCATTCAAATACTACAATTTTGAACTTTACCAGAAAGAAAAGAAATTGGTTATAATTATTTTTTAATATAATTTAACTTCCTTAAATTGTTTTTTGTAATCAGCTGAACATCTTGCTGATGAAGCTTATTTATGGCAAATATACAAATTTAATGAAAATAATTAATATTTCAGAAATACATACAACTGAAGAACTGTATAATTATGAGGGAAAGTCAAAATATATGTTTCTCAAACCTGCTATCCCCAGTGTTTTTATTCAAAACAAACATAACGAAGTAGGCTAAGCAGACTTACTTTATGTTTTACATAGTCATCATAGGCACTGACACATTTATCATAAACACTTGAAAGGTTTAAAATCCTACTGAAAAAAATGCATGTTCTATTTTCCTTCAAATAAAAACATATATTTATATCCTTTTCATTAGCTGAAAAATAGTACAAACTGATATTCTTGCACACCAAGAGATTTGAATATCTGAAACAAATCTTAAAAATTACATCTTCTAAATGCTTTTTAGTAATTATATTATTAATATGCATTATGTTTTAATTCTGCACCCATTTGCATTTCCATACCCATAGTTTAAATCTATTTCTGCTTTGTGAAATATATGCATAAAAATATGTATGCTCAGTTTGCACTGAGCATGATAACTTTGTAAATAACTATTTTTAATAGTTGAAAATTAATACAAAAAGAACCCATTCGACTGATTAGCAGCTACAGTCAGTAATAATTATCTTCATTGTGGATTGTAGTAATTTTTCTGTAGTACATGGATATTATACAAATAAATTTTGTATTTACATAGGACATTTATAATTACTTACATACAAACATATGCATTTTAATTTATGTATCAAAAAAAAGTTTAATAAATAAGAGAAAGAGGACTAGGTTGTCATTATTTATTCTCTAGTTGTATCCCACTTGAAAAATTCTCATAATTTGTTTAAATTAAATTACTTAATGGCTAATTAAACATGTTAAAGCTATCTGAAAGACATTTTCATCTGAAAAACTAATATTTAGCTGTCAATATATTTAAATTAAAAAGTGTAATCAAGAAATTCTTCTTACAGGTGCCAAACTTTAAATTTCAGGTAGAAAATAAATATGAACTCCTTTTTTTTTCCCCTTTGTATTATTATATTATGTACTGATAAATATTTGATGAATGAAATTTAAAATTTAGGTCAAGTATTTTTATTTTGTTGATAAAAAAACAATCATTTTTCTCGGGGGGGGGGGAATTCTGGCGCCCATTGGTTGTTTTAAAATCATGCATTTGCACTGCATGCAGTTTGTGACCACTGATATAGTTTTTTTGATGGTAGAAACAATTCATCATCTTTGTGTTTCCAAGCTGAGCAAACAATGCTACTGATCAGCTGTGTAGTCTTATAGCAGGAAAGATAGATTATTCTAATATTTTTCTGATATATAATAACCATAAAATCAGTATTCCATACAAAATCCTTCACAAAAGATGTGCTTGAGATTTCATTAATTTTTAAATTATTTATGGATCTTATAAATTAATACTTTGAGTAAAATTTAAACTCAGCAAATCTATGTAGGCAAGCATAATCCATGTGGCAAACAAATTTATAAATCTCCATAATAATCATTGACTTCAATGGCATGCTAACATTATTCAGTTTAAAAAAAGTTCTTTTCAAGGTAGAAATTCAAAATTTCCAACAGTTTCTACTTTACTTTTGTATTTTCACTGCGACAAAAATTACTAAAAGGCATAAAACTTATATGATATTAAGTACAATAATTTATAAATAAAATAAATAAAAATCCAATTTGAAAATAATACAGATTATTATTTACATGAAATAATTCTTTTTCAATGATTCAAAAGAAAATTCTCTACAAGTACTGTTAAAATGCACAAAACATTCTCAAAAAAACTTATGCTACAATAAATAACTAGAAATTAAAAGATAAGGGAAAAGAACTTTGACAAAAAAAAAATACATTTTCCGTGTGAAGTAATTTCAATAAATATAGTAAAATAATAGGTTATAGAGATAATACAAATGTATATTATATAATCATTTGCAATTACATAACAAATTTCAAAACTCATATTAAAATATTTGATTGCAAACTTATATGTTTAAACCTTTATATATGCTTTTACCAAAATATACTATATACCTTAACCTTTTTTTTTAGGGCTTCTCATCTTAGCAATGCTCATCTCATCCCTCTTGAAAATAAATTATGCTGAAAAAGACGGTTTAATCTCTTAAAATGCACTGAACGTTTCTGAGCAAAACATTTTACAAATTTAACAAATATATTAATTTACAACATAAGCAGTAGCAGAGTTCAATTTAATTATATTCAATCCATTTTGAAAATCATATTAAAAAATATAAATAAACTTTTGAATTTGATATATGAGAATGGATTTTGTTTATTTTATTTTTCAAGACCTCAAATATTTGAACTTACTGTTTTTTAAAATAGATTTTTGAGAATGAATTTGTTACATAACAACATTATAGGTACGTACAGATGTAACAAAAATGATCGACACAATTTCAAAAGATGACAGAACATGGCAACAGTAACAATTTTCCTAATATGATATGTGGTGAATGCGAAAATTTAACAATGAACATGGAAACACATCATTTCAATCATCACGGGTATTTTACTAGAAATAGATGTTCAGATGAACTGTTCAATGCACAACAACCAAATGCAAACACATGCACCACTATGTTCACAGATCTCATTTACGAGATGCTCATTGACCTTCAGAATTAGGACTGTTACAGAAATATATGGCATGCTAAGTATCTTCTTAAGTGTATGGTGGCAGTGAATGAAAGTGAAGTTATTGGTAAAATGTATACCAATCACTTCACCTTCACTGTGATGCATGTATTGCACTTGACGACTGTTCACTTGAACAGTTCTTGTTAATATCAAATGCTAGTTCTTGCATATACCATGACTAGGGGCATCCCAAAGAAAGTTTAAGTTTTTAAATGTATGTACCTAGATATAAGAAGATAAAAAATATGAAGTAGAAAAGTTGTCTTCTTTGAAAGTGTTAAAGTTTATTGTAAAAATGGACTTTCAAGAATCACTCCCTACCTTATCCCTACCCTTTTTTGACAGTGCATGCTTTAGTTGCTTTTAGTGAGAAAAGCTTTTCAGAGTTGAAGTTGATCAAAAGCTGTCTTTGATCAACAATGAGCTGTGCAAAATTTAACGTATGGCATTCCTTTCTATTAAAGGTGCAGTGGCTAAAAGCATTAATTTTGATGAATCTATAAGAAACTTTTCAGAAGGTCACAGAGAAAAAAAAAAGAGAAGTTAAAAAAAAAACATTTTTTAAATCATCAAAAATGGCAGATTAATAAGCCTTTTTAAATATATGTTTGTCCATTACATAGACGTATGTTTTCCCTTATTTTTAAAACTGTTTTTTCAAAAGCAATTTAACTATTAATTTAGAAGTCAAGCAACAAAAATCAGCATTTGTGTTTGCAAATTTTTTGCATGAATAGTTTCAATGGTTTTACTGAACCATGCATTTTTCCGCCCCTAGCCTATAGATAGCTAGCCTATATATGGCTATAGGTCTGCCACTCTTCATGAATAAAATGATTTTTCATTCTCTGTGTTCTTCATAGTTACTCTATTATCTTTACATTCCACCACATAATGCAGTATGAAAATGATTACCTTTGCTGTATACTATACATTCTTAGAATTGTTAACATCGATTCTGTTACAGCCTGTATAATCAGAATAAATTCAAATAAATAAATCTAAATACATTTGTTAATAGTGTCAATTTATAAACTATATTTCTTCTTATTGATCAGGTTTAATAAACGCAGTGAATGCACCACAGCATTCACTTTCCCAATCCTATCCTGTGACCATAACAAATGGTTCCAACCTTTCTTCAGGAGGCAGCATATTATTCAACGTGTCCATGCTTTTGATTACTTCTTTCAGACCTGACTGGCATCGCTGAAGATTATTTGATATTTCTTGCACTTTCCCAAGCTGCTCAGCATACTTGGCAAATTTTTTCTGACGCTCTGCCAGCATGTTAGTTAATGTTGTAATAGCAAAGTCAATCTACAGAAAAATTAAAAACTTTGTACCCCCCCACTATGTAAAACACACATTAAGCATCATTACTTAAAAGATACAACATTTAAACACGCATATGCAAAAAACGTTTTCCCGTAACATAACTGAGTTTAAATCTTATAAAAAAATCTTATAAAACTGGATAAGTACAAAATTATGATCCAAGAGAGAATTTCATTACCCCCCCCCCAAAAAAAAAAAAGATTCTCATTCAAATACTACAATTTTGAACTTTACCAGAAAGAAAAGAAATTGGTTATAATTATTTTTAATATAATTTAACTTCCTTAAATTGTTTTTTGTAATCAGCTGAACATCTTGCTGATGAAGCTTATTTATGGCAAATATACAAATTTAATGAAAATAATTAATATTTCAGAAATACATACAACTGAAGAACTGTATAATTATGAGGGAAAGTCAAAATATATGTTTCTCAAACCTGCTATCCCCAGTGTTTTTATTCAAAACAAACATAACGAAGTAGGCTAAGCAGACTTACTTTATGTTTTTACATAGTCATCATAGGCACTGACACATTTATCATAAACACTTGAAAGGTTTAAAATCCTACTGAAAAAAATGCATGTTCTATTTTCCTTCAAATAAAAACATATATTTTATATCCTTTTCATTAGCTGAAAAATAGTACAAACTGATATTCTTGCACACCAAGAGATTTGAATATCTGAAACAAATCTTAAAATTACATCTTCTAAATGCTTTTTAGTAATTATATTATTAATATGCATTATGTTTTAATTCTGCACCCATTTGCATTTCCATACCCATAGTTTAAATCTATTTCTGCTTTGTGAAATATATGCATAAAAATGTAAGAAGTGGATGCATTAAGAATGAAAAATATTACTTACACGTATATGATGTGTAAATCCTGCCTCCTCAAATTTTTATTTGTTTGTTTATTTCAAGGATATGCTAGTTCACATGACTTCAAATTTTTTTTTTTCTTTTTCAGAAAAATACTGGCAATAAGATAAAATTATATTTTCATTTCAGATCCTTTTTATTAAGGGAATGCAAATTATATACATATTTACAAGCATAGCTGTATAATTATTTCAAATGGTAAATCAAATGCTAAGTGATTATAATATTTCAAAATGCAGGAATTAAAATTATATATTAAAATGTTTTGGGGATCATTTTGTTGAAGCAGATACTGAGAGAAAAAGAAAGATGCCATCACTACAAATGATTTTAGTCTGCTTAATTAACAAACATTAAACAAAATTATGTGAAGTCTATTGTTTATAAATAAATGTTACTAAAATTCAAAATCAAATAGTACAAATGAACTGCAAAAAATAACTTACTTCTCTTATCCTCTGAGTCAATGCATTTTGTTCGGTGCTAACAACTTCAGCACATATTTTGAGATGTTCCTGGTATCTTTGACAAAGTTTCAAAATAATCTGATGATCAAGTTTATGGAGTACTTCTGGGTCATGCACAGTTGGTATATTCAGTGTCCCCCGCATAATAGGATGAAATGTCGGTGTTTGCTGAAATAATTAATAGAAAACATGTAATTTTTACATCATTTAAAAGTTAAGAAAGAAGTAAGTACAGTATTTTTAAGTATAAAGACAGTGATAGATGTAAAAATTTATTGTTTACATAAGTGATACAGTTATCTACTAACGATTGATATACCATATTTACATGGGTAATTTCTCCCTTCTTTTTACTAATTTTATCACACAAAAATTGAGAGGGGAAAATTATGTAAATAATTTAATTCCTGAAGGATGCAGTTACAGTAACAATCAACAGCATTTATACCAATATCAAAGGCCAATGTTCGTAAAATCCTCAATAATGAAAAAAAGACAGCAGCATATTTAGGAAAAAAGACTCAGAATGACATTATTACATTATCAGAATGACATTATTGACAGATACACGATAATATAAAGCGGGCTCTCAATCGGTGGTACGCAAAAGAAAAATAGATGGTACATAAATAAGCAAAGTATTTCTAACTATTAAATTCAAAAATTAAAACCCCAACATCCTGATTGAGTGTTTTTTCTAACAGTTGTAAATTTATGCGATATGAGCTTTGTTCAAGAGTGGTGGTGGTAGTAGTACTTTGTAGTGGTTGTACTAAAGGTTTTCAATTTTTGTTTAGATGGTATGCTTTAGTCAAAAGGTTGAGAACCGCTGACATAAAGTATATATTATAAAACAAGTTCAAAATTGAACTATTATTCAATTATTCTTGATAGTACTCGCAATGCGAGTAAGGTTGAACAAATGACATTTGCAGTAAGATATAGTTCCACTGATCAATCAGAAACGGGATTTGAATGCAACATTAATGTACACTGTTAAAAAAAAAAAAAATGGGACACTGCTATATCTCCCGTTCTACTGGGCCGATTGACAAAATTCAAACTGCGTTTTTTATGTCTCGAAAGCACGACTTAGGATATATATTAGATTTATATATAGCACTATTCTAACATAGGTATTTTGACACAAAAAGAAATAACATACCAATGTTTTTACATATTTCGATTCTACGACCCAAATTATGTCAGAATACTAAGTTTTGTAAAAATCGTACGAGTAGTTTTTAAAATATTACCTCTCAAAATTTTAGCTCCTCAATGTTAATTGAATTTGGCAAATAGTTATTAATATCTCTTTTTTTTATTGCACCATTTTTTTATTTTTCCTTTCACATTTTGAAATTTGGGTTCATTCCAAATAAAATTTACCCATTTTTTGTGTTTTATTTTTTAAATTTCTATTTTTAAACAATTTTTATAAATTTTTCAAAAAACAATTTGAATTATAACCTATACATTTTTGCCATCATCTTAAAGTAGGTGTATTTCTAAGCATACCTGCAAAAAATTAGACTTTTTTATTCAAAATTTTCTAAGATATACACGAATTTACATATTTTCGCATTTTGAAGTTTGGTATCTTTTTTTTTTTTTTTTTTTTTTTTTTTTTTGAGCGATAATAACGCCAAATGTGCTTTACTGATTTTTGTTACAGTGAATTGCCGCAGCTATTTTTAACCTTAAATGTCAAGTGAAATTTTACGGAGAATTAATTATATAAAATTTTGGTTAATCTTTGGATTATGGTAACTTAACGATTTTTTGGCGAAAATTTGGCAACCAACCCTGCTACAGCAACCTGCTAGTTTTTGTTTGGACGCCATTGTTTTCACGAAGTAAAGGCTTTTTTTTTTTTTTTTTTTTACTCAACACTTTTTTCCAACAATCTGCTATCCGATTTACACTTATGCTAGAACTTTTATGGAACAAATGTGCTTAATCATGACGAAGATTAGGTGCGAAATTGGGAGAAAGTGCAGAATCGCAAACTGCTTGAAGCGTTTTTAAGAATTGCACATACACGGTACCCATGTACACGTCGACCTATTTTCACTTAAAAAAACATCCCAGAATTGCACAAAAATGGCATTGCGCACACTCTTGACTTTATCCACATAAAGTCCTAGCTAGTAACCTTTATCGCCTTACCAAAATGTTGCCAAACTACCTGTTACCATATTCCAAAGATTAGCCGAAATTTTTTCCCTCAATGATGTGTAATAAATATTTATTAATACTATATGAAAAGCTATTTTTTTAAATTATAGATGATATTCAAATTTTTAACTTTTTTTTTTTTTTTTTTTTACATTTCTCCCTTTCTTCTTTTTTTAAAAAAAATATTTGTAAGAGGAAATTTTTATCTTCGACGTTTTAGCGTCTGCTACTTTACTTTAACTTCGGTTAAACCGACTTGTCTAAAACTGAGAACTTTTGTTTGATGTTTATTTGAATTTTATGAAAATATTTTATGACATTAACTGCATAATTTATTTCTAAACAAGCTGTTGCTTATGAAGTGGCTGAAAAAGCGGCTAATACTATCATCCACATTTTTAAAGCACAGTATATATTTATAGAAACATAAGATTTAGAATCATCATTTTTATAAAAGTCAAATTATGATATAAACATACAACTCTCTAGAGACCGAATTAATGGAAGTTCAATGGTTATTTAGAAATGCTACTTAATGGCAGGATAAGTCAGCAGGTTCTGTGAACAAGTACGAATAATTATATAAACGACACCCAAATTCTGGATTCAATTAACAACGAGGGTACAATGTTTATTAAATGAATTTAAGAAGTTTTTAAACACAAAAAATCAACTCATTTTTTATCCTAAAATGTATTTTTATGCGTAACGTATTTTCATTATATCCTTAAAATTCTAATTTAGAATGTAACTATTGAGAACTGAATTCTAATCATTAGTAATATAATAAGTAATTATTACGGTTATTAATAAATCCTTCTTATAAAGTAATTGCAAATACTTCCAAAAACTTTCTGTCTGAATGCAAATAATTTCTAATTTTATATTAATCAAGACTGCACACGATATTATTTATTTGCACTTCAATTCTTACCATCAGCTCTAGTAGAAGTTACAAATCAATTACATTTTAATTAAGGAATGACCATCTAAGTTTAGAAACAGTGCAATTCAATTATTGGTGCCGTATCTTTCATGGTACTCTCGATTGGCAAGCTACATGATTTTTAATGAGTATTCGGGTTTTTGCTAGTAACTTCACTTGGAAATTGCGCTTAAACTAGGTTAGTTGGTTATTTGAACATACAAAGAACATGGGAGCTATTTGGTTAAGATGCTTTCATAGATGACCTTTGTAAAGAGAACCTAGAAAACTACAAAAACCAACCATGCAGCCTGGGTTAGACTTCGCAAAAAACAATTAGTATTTAACAATCTTCAAATGCTAGGCAACTGGTGAGGCTCCAATTTAATATTTTATTTGTAAATATTTAAAATATTTCTCTATTCTTAGAGCAGAATTTAAGTTTTATTAACTCGTTAGTAAACTACCAAGCCGTAGTGAAAATGAATATTCAATTTCTTTTGCAATAATTGTATTCACTTAATATTCTTGGAATATGAGCTAAAGAAGGAATGTTCTGGGAAGATTAAAGAAGTGTTTAAATCCAGTGATATTAGGTTTGTCTTACAAGCTCAGATTCAAAACGATTCTCCAATTGCCTGAGTAAGTTGACTTCTAAATGGCTGTTAATTAAGCAGATGACTTTTAATCTTACATTATTCAGTCAGAAAATGTATTCCAAATGTTTTGTATTGCATGACAATGCATCTTTTCATTATTCAATAACCAATCGGAGAACCGCTTGTATTCCGAAAATAAGTATGTGTACTCAATTGTCCTGCATGTTCTTCAAATTTGTCTTCTTGTGATTTTTTTCTTTCCCAAAAACTAAAGTTTTTGGAAGGAAAGGAAAAGTTTTTTTGACAGTGAAGAGACAAAAGGAATATGACATCTACTTTTAGAAGCATGTCAAAAACAGATCTTTTTTTCCATTACATGTTGTGTATTCAGACAAAAATTTGGATCAGCGTAAATTCTATAATCTATTTTTATTACACTCTGATTACTTTATTAACATACAGTGAATATATACTAAACCTTTTACTTCAGCTTCAGTAATTCGGAATTGTTGTCGGAACTAGGACTTTTAAGTCAAATTGAATATTTTGATAATCCAATAAATTCAAGGTCGAAGTTTCAATATTTTATTTTTAGAGGGAGGGGATATTTTTTCAGTTTTTGTCCATTATCCTAAGTATATTTGCTTCAATTCTTTATTTTTTCCATAAAAGCAAAAATCTTACGCATGGTATACATATAATGAATAGCTTCAAATTAAAATTTAATTGGTTATAATTAAAGATCCACTTTGAAATGGTCATAAAAGGAAAACTACTGGATCAAATGTTAAACTTGGTAACCGTGTAAAGGAGGTCATGGGAATTTATTTTTCGCGAGAAAAAGAAAGCTCAAAAACCTCACCACCAGGGGGAAAATGGTGCTGTATGCAATATTGTTAAACGAAATATGGGTCGGAATCTAACTTAACCTTTTGTTACACGGGTTTAATAGTATGCTGTATACCCTTAAGAAATTTTGAAATAAACAAATTACCATTTAAAGGCGTTAAATTCGATAAAAGTCGTGTGCGCCATCCGTGTAAGGGAGAAATTTGTCCGTGAAAACCATGAATTAGCGATTAGGAAATTAGAGATCGCAAATCACTTGCACAAATGCGTACAATCTGGAAAGCGTTTTCTTACAGATCACTAATTTGTAATTTTTTAAGCCTGAATTCGGCTCTAAAACATGAATATACTGATTCAAAACGCTTTTAATCGATTTGGGCCAGAGAAATCCCTCATGTTACCTACCTAATTCCATTGCATTCTCCTACTGCATTCGAATGCATAGCAGTCATTCCACACTGTTTTGGTGTGGAATGACAGCTAGTTTCATAACTGAACTATTTTTCTCTGAATAGCAGTCAACAGCTGGACCACTGTGATTGCCTCTTGCTTAGAGTCAATGTTAAAATGTTTCGTGATACATGAACTGCAGTAACGTGGCATTTTAGATACTGCGA